CGTGGTGCTGGCCACCCACCCGCTCGTGTGCCGTTCCGGCCTTCATAGGTGCTCGCTAACAGCACTTGCCCCTACAGTCTGTTACAGGTGATGCGGGGGGTAGGGGGGGTCTTTGCCTTTTGTGTGTGAGAGGGACAGGTGTATGGGTCAGTAGGAGGTCCAGGGGGAGGGGTAGGGTGGGATACACAGAGACCCGAAGGAATACATAGGGAACCATGAACTCACACAGAGACCCATAGACTCACAGAAAGATCCATAGACTTACACAGAGACCCATAGAGAGACGTAGGGAACCATGAACTCACACAGAGACCCATAGACTCACAGAAAGATCCATAGACTTACACAGAGACCCATAGAGAGACGTAGGGAACCATGAACTCACACAGAGACCCATAGACTCACAGAAAGATCCATAGACTTACACAGAGACCCATAGAGAGACGTAGGGAACCATGAACTCACACAGAGACCCATAGACTCACAGAAAGATCCATAGACTTACACAGAGACCCATAGAGAGGCGTTGGGAACCATGAACTCACACAGAGACCCATAGACTCACAGAAAGATCCATAGACTTACACAGAGACCCATAGAGATGCATAGGGAACCATGAACTCACACAGAGACCCGTAGACTCACAGAAAGATCCATAGACTTACACAGAGACCCATAGAGAGACGTAGGGAACCATGAACTCACACAGAGACCCATAGACTCACAGAAAGATCCACAGACTTACACAGAGACCCATAGAGATACATAGGGAACCACGAACTCACAGAGAGATCCATGAACTCACAGATAGATCCATGAACTCACACAGAGACCCATAGACTCACCTAGAGATCCATAGACTTACACAGAGACCCATAGAGATACATAGGGAACCATAGGCCTCGACCATAGACCTAGACTCATATGTATGAATGTTGAACTTCTTTCGCACCATACGTAGCCAATCGCGCTACTCGGTAGTGCGGGGGGAAGGACAACAAACTAAACCCAAAAAAGCAGGTCTCTAGAAATGAGTTGATGTATGTATGACATACAGATAGATGACATGTATGCATGGGCGGTGGGACAGTGGTTAGCGCAATGTGCTATGAACCAGGGGAGCCAATATTCACTCCCTACCCGCGCCACCATGGACAACGCACTGACCAGCATGGTGAAGTATGCTTGAAAAGGGCCTCCATGCCGTTATCAGGTTATTTCGGTGATGCTGCCACTGCTGCTGCTTTGGCAGCGGTGCACAAACACAACCAACAAGAACAACAACAGCAAACTCGACACACTTGTCAACAACACTGCGTGGCCTTAAAATATGTATAATTGCCAACGTTTCGGGCAATGTCCCTTCTCCACAGCACATGCACCTTCAATCAGTGAATTGATTGATTGTCTGAAGATGACAATGATGATCATGATGATGACCATCATCATACAATTATCCTGGAAGGCCCCTGGGTTGTGGAATAATACATTTTATTTTATGGAGATATGGATCTGGAGCCAATTTATTCATCTATGTATTTATTTGCACACTGAGCCCCACAAACGTTTCCCTTTCAATCAACAGGGGGGAGCTATCGTGTAGATTGGAGTGTTCAAAGTAAACTATTTTTTTTAGATATTAAAGTTTCACTTATATAACTAAACTACTCAACTATTTTCATTTTCCCAGATCAGACCCGCTGAGCTATACAGCTCTTTTTATCAGAAGCGACCTGAGCCACAAATTATAGCTCAACGAAGTGGCTTATCAACGTGTGGGCATGTATAGCAGCAGCCAAATACTCTGTAATCGCGTGACGTTGCTTCTAAATGTGGAGGGAAAAACCGGAGGACCCGGAGAAAAATCCATGCGACCACGGCGAGAGAGAGAGAGAGACCCTGTAAACTCCAAATCTACAGCAGGCGTGAGGGTCGGGATCGAACCCACGACCTCCTGCATACCAGGCGAGGTAGTTAACATCTCCGAGCCACCGCGGCGCCCTTCCTGCCAATAACAGCTGTGGGTAGGCACCCATCATTCGTTTTGAGAGGCCGTGCATCCTGCCGATGAGACCCCAACAAGGTTGAGAACGAGTTTTTGTGGAGGTCTCCAGCGAAGTTCTCGTTTGCTCCATTACGAATAACTTCGCGTCGTGGTTTTTTTGTTTTACATGGAGCCGGTTCAGCCCAGCACCCTTTAGATAATCGCAGGGTCGGCGAGTCAAACATTTCCGTAACGATAATAATAATACTGCTCATAATGATGAGATTTAATTTTGTTGCCAGGAAGTCCTCACTTATTCCTAAACGATGGTGCAGGGTGTGCCCCCTCGACTGTGGTTCAATAATTGAGGTCCTGGCAAGTGACCTCGGAAGACGCGACTGGGTGGTTCACTGCTCTCTGCTGGCTGGGCGTTCCGCGCAGAATGCCCCCGAAATGTCACAATCGCTGAACAGCCGTCGATTATTGTTCTTTTTAATTGGCAGTCGCTTTGTCAAATCCACTGCTGGATGGAGGCCTCTTCAGGGGCTGGAGAAGGGGAGGATGGTAGGGTGGGAGGGGGGGGGGTCTTGAGCATACTTCACCGCACTGGTCAATGCGGGTTGGTGAGGAGGCGTGGGGGGAGAGGGTGGGGGAGAGGGAGGTGAGCTGGGGTTGGCTTGACCAGTCGCTCACTACTGGTGTTGTAGCCATGACCTGGAATCAAACTCAGGTGACCCGGCTCTATGCAGATCTTAGGTCTTTGAGTTAGTCCGAAGGTCTTTGTGTGAATATATGGGTCTCTGTGTGCGTCTATGGGTCTCTGTGTGAATCTATGGGTCTCTGTGTGAGTCAAGTGGGTATTTATGAGTCTATGGGTATCTACGTGCGTGTGGGAATCTACTAATATTTAATAAATAAAAGAAACAGCTCATTATCAGTTCACTGCTGGATGAAGGCCTCACTCACAACGCCGTGTCAGCCATCGGGTGGGTTGTTTGACCATACTTCCGCATTTGGCTCAGTCGCGATTTTGGTGCAAATCCATTGAATCCAGCCTCACATTCCGTTGGTTCGTTTGTGAGAGTCACGCATTGCGTGGAGATGGAGCAATGGGCTCAGCTCTTGCGGAGGAGCCAAGATGGTTTGCGACATCGCTAGGAACTTGAGAAGGGATGGTGGCAGCTTTGGGAAGGCATTCATCCAGCAGTGGAGAAACCATGGCTTATTATTAGGATCATTACATGGAAGGGTTGCAATAAATGACGATAGCTGGATGTATTCATCCAGCAGTGGATTGATTATGCCTGACAATAATAACGATGATGATGATGCAGATGATGAAGAATTACTTCATCTTGATTAATAAGTTTACTTGAAATTGGCCTCAATCGCTGCAATTGTTCCCGGGACCGTGAGATGTATTGGCCGGTGGCTTCGTGAGGTCTTCCATCCAGCAGTGTGTACATCACGGCAGACAATGATGATCATGCCGATGAAGAATAATGTTAACCTGATGAATAGGTTAACTTTAAATTGGCGGACATTGTTACAATTGTGGGACCGTTGCTAGATGTTAACTCCCTCGCCTGCTATACAGGAGGTTGTGGGTTCGATCCCGACCCTGACGGCTACTGTATATTTGGAATGTGCGTCCTCTGGTTTTTCGCTCCTCATTTAGAATCAACAAAGCATTTGGAGTAATTAAGCCCACTTCGTTGAACTATCATTCGTGGCCAAGTCGCTTCTGTAAAAGAGCTCTATAGCTCAGTGGGCCCTTGCTTGGTCAAATTAAAAAATAAAGTTTAGTCGTATTCATTGGGCCGATGGCTTTTGGAGGTGGACTTCATCCAGCAATGGATAGACCGCGGCCGGCAACGACGGCGAGGGATTGACTCCATCGCTTCCAGCGGGGCATTAAATCGTGCGCCATCAAACCCAACACAAGCGGCAAAAGCAGCTTCCTCCCTTCGAAAGTCATCGTCGCGATCTGTTGCCGAAACATCGTCTGATCCGACGCGGCTTTTCGGCTCAGTCGGGATAATGAGGGCTGCCGGAAAACTCCCCTCCATCCGGCGCCGGCCATGCCCTTCGTCAACAATTTTTGGCATCCCGCGTCGATCCCCGCCCGCCTTCGAAAACCGCCCGAGCCCCAGTTGACACGCTGAGCTGAGTTGGGTTGGGTGTTTTTTTTCAGTCGCGTCGTTTTTGCTTGACTTTGGCTACGATCCCGTTTTATATCCTGCTGAGCTCAACTCAGCAGTGCTGTTTATTAAGTTGTCTTCATGCAGCAACGGGCAGGTGAGGCCTTCGTACAGCAGTGATGGTGATGATGGTAGCAGTGTCATTATCATGAGCAGTATCAGCAGCAGCAGCATTATCATCGTCAGCAGCAGAAACAATAGCAATAGACAAATGTTAGTCTATCACTCCAACACTTTCTTTTATGTACAGGGGATGATGTATTGTAATTAATTAACACATTTTATTGCGTTAACACGATGTGTAATAAGCACATGGAATATTTAAATAACGTAAATAAATCAATGAATTCATTAAGAAAGGAGTTGATACGTGCTACTTAATTGATTTCCTTGCCTATATTATTTTGCCTGTGCTGTACTAAACACCCCCTCCCCCTCTCCACCTTACCCCCCCCCCCCCCCCACGTATCTCTCCAACTCATATCCCCCCTCCACTCACCATCCACGCTCACCCCCCCCCACCCACCCCTAATTACTCTCTGCAATATTTCCAAAATCATCTTACATCCATCCACTTTTCCTAAACGTCCTCCCTCACCCCCTCCCCCTGCAATCCCCCCCCCCTCCATCCATCACCCACTCACCACTCCACCTGTCAATCTCACTCACCAACCCCCTCCAAAAAAAATCTCTCCCCAAACCCAACTCACCTCTCACCTCCATCCCGACTGCCTCCCCCCACCCACTCCCCCTCTCCCCCTACGTGTCTGTGGTGATGGTGGACGCATCACCACCACCACCATCACCGCCACCAGGAGAGAACTCGTGCGGTGGCAGTGGCGGCGGAGACAAGAGTCCGCCGGGAGGTCCCCCGTCCAAGCGGGCGCGCACCGCATACACGAGCGCCCAGCTGGTGGAGCTCGAGAAGGAGTTCCACTTCAACCGCTACCTCTGCCGGCCACGCCGCGTCGAGATGGCCAACCTGCTGAACCTCACCGAGCGCCAGATCAAGATCTGGTTCCAGAACCGGCGCATGAAGTACAAGAAGGACCAGAAGGCCAAGGGCATCATGGGCTCGCCGGGCGGCGGCCACTCGCCGAGCCGGAGCCCCCAGCTGAGCGGGGTCGCCGGAGGGTTGCCCGGCGGCTACGGCAACCCCCTGCACGGTTTGGGCAACGGCGGCCTCATGGGCGGCGGCGGCGGCGTGGTCGGAGGAGGCGGCGGAGGCATCGGCATCGGCTACGACGTCAGCTCGCCCACGTCGTTCCCCAAGTCGCACCACAGCGCGTACGGCATCCACACGGGCGCGTACGGAGCGGCGCTCACAAACTGCCCGCCGACCCCCAAGCGCTACGGCGGGGCGCCCATGGTGCCCGACTACGGCTCGCACCCCTTGCAGGGCGCCGACGGCTTCTGCGGCGGCGGCGGAGGCGGCGGAGGCGGTGGAGGCGGCCTGCAGCAGGCGGGGAGCCCCGTGTACGTGCAGGGAGGCGGAGGGGGCGGAGGTGGCGGCGGCTTCGTGGAATCGGCCGGACCGGCGATGTTTAATCTCTCTCACCTCCCGCCGCCGGGGCATCACCACTCGTCGCCCGTCACTCTGGATTTTAACGGACAGATAAGCGGCGGGCACCATCCGCACGCGGCCTGTAACCAGCATCCGACTTACACCGACTTGTCGACGCACCACCCTCCACCACCGGGCCTCCAGGATGTGCCCAAACTGACGCACCTGTAGCGGCGGGGGGATGGAGGAGGACGCGGAGAAGGTGTGCCCGATGAGACTCAGTGGTTTGGAGTTTGACTCCAGGGTTGTTGTTGTTGTCGTTGTTGTTGTCGTCGTCGTCGTTATTGTCGTTTGATGTTGTTGTTGATGTTGCTGTGGGGGTAGGGGTGGGTGTAGGATGGGGGTGTAGGTTAGGTTGGATGAGTGGTGGTGGTTGTGGTGGTCGTGGTGGTGTTGGTGGACAAGTGAGACAGTGGTGGTGGTGGTGATTCACCTGTGATATGTAAACAGTGGAGAGTGCGTGTGTGTGTGTGACAGGGAGAGTGTATGAGAGTGTGTGTGACAGGGAGAGTGTATGAGAGTGTGTGTGACGGGGAGAGTGTATGAGAGTGTGTGTGTGACAGGGAGAGTGTATGAGAGTTTGTGTGTGTGTGTGACAGGGAGAGTGTGTGAGAGTGTGTGTGTGTGTGTGACAGGGAGAATGTATGAGAGTGCGTGTGTGTGTGTGTGACAGGGAGAGTGTATGAGAGTGTATGTGTGACAGGGAGAGTGTATGAGAGTGTGTGTGTGTGTGTGACGGGGAGAGTGTATGAGAGTGTGTGTGTGACAGGGAGAGTGTATGAGAGTGTGTGTGTGACGGGGAGAGTGTATGAGAGTGTGTGTGTGTGTGTGACGGGGAGAGTGTATGAGAGTGTGTGTGTATGGCAGGGAGAGTGTATGAGAGTGTGTGTGACAGGGAAAGTGTATGAGAGTGCGTGTGTGTGTGTGTGACAGGGAGAGTGTATGAGAGTGTGTGTGTGTGACAGGGAGAGTGTATGAGTGTGTGTGTGTGACAGGGAGAGTGTATGAGAGTGCGTGTGTGTGTGACAGGGAGAGTGTATGAGAGTGTGTGTGACAGGGAGAGTGTATGAGAGTACGTGTGTGTGGGGAGCGGTGGTGCAGCGATTAGCGCGCTGCGTCACTAACCCAGCCACCAGCGTTCGATTCTCGCTCAAGGCCAACACCAGTGACGATTATCCAAACCGGTCCTGGGCCTCCCCAAGGTCGACTCAGCCTTAAATGAGTACCTGGCTCGACGTGTAAACATCGCCAGGAGGGAGACAAAGGCGGCCGGGTGTGATTCTCCTTGTGTGCCGTGACGGCGGGACTTGCCCCAACAGCCTGCTCGAGGCTATACGGGGGATATTTGTCTTTGTATGAGTGGATGTAATGATTGCATGTATGAGTATGTATGAGTGTATGTGAGTGTTTGTATGAGTGCACGTGAGTGTGTGAATGAATGTAGGAGTGTTGGTATGTTCATGTGAATGGGCATCTTTGATTAAGATTATTACCTAGTTTAGACGAACGTACTGTCCGGGCAAGTGCCGATAGTCAGCACTACCAGCCCATAACACTACCCCGAGCCCAAACAACACTCGCCACCACAGCGAGCTAACCAGACATTAACCCTCTGGCTAACCCTACATACAGGAGTTTTTTTTTCAAATTGTAAATGCTGTGGCTTGGTTCTCCAACACTCCGGTGTGCTGTACTAGTGACGATTTGGCACGTTCTGTTTACGTGACAAACCTTACTAGTTGGCTGTGCCGGGTGGTGGCGGGTTTCACAACACATGTATATATTTACGCGATCTAACCCCCCCCCCCCAAAAAAAAAACCTGTATTATGAATGAATGAAACCCTACTAAGTGTTAAACCTACACTGGCTACCACAGCCAGCTAACCAGACACTAGCCCTATCCCTAACACTGCCCGACACAGCCAACCAGACCCTATCAATCACCCTACTCCATGCCATTGCAGGATCTGCACCTTTATCTTGCACCGGTGTGGGCTTCCTCTAGTTAAACTTTGGTACCTCGTAAACGGCCATACCGGGGAAGACAAAGGCGGTCGGTCGGTTGGGCCTCAATCATTTCTGGCCACAACCACACTAACGCCTATCTCTCTCATAAAAGACTTAAGATCCCCCGAATAGCCTGATCAGACTGTTGGGGCAAGCGCTGTTAGCGAGTTATCCCTATGAAGGCCGGCACGGCACGCGATGGAGTGGGTGGCCAGCACCACGCCCGGCCGCCTTTGTCTCCCCAGTGGGCATGTTTACACACCGCACCAGGTACTCATTTGAGGCTGAGTCGACCTCGGGGTAGTCGCAGGACCGGCTCAGATAATCGTCACTTGGGGGCCGTCCATAAATGACGTCACGCACCTGGGAGGGGGGGGTCAGACATTTGTGACGATGTGTGACGAGGGGGGGGGTTTGATAAATGTGACGTCACATCAAAATGCGCAACTTTAAACAAATATAGACAACACGTTCTACTTAATTAAATAGACTTTTTAATAAATGTTTTCTCCTACAACAGAGTACAGCGCCACATTAAATACGCACTACGATGACAATAAATTTTGATTTAAAGCTTTCGTGACTGCAGTAATTCATATTCTTAGCTCTTTCGGTAAAGTCACGTTGAAGGGAAACAATAAAATATATATAAAACGATAAAAAATTCTCACGACGTTTCGACCATAACACAAACGGTCGTCATCAGGTGTGTCGGTTTGCATGTTGATGACGACCGTTTGTGTTATGGTCGAAACGTCGTGAGAATTTGTATTGTTTTATATATATTTTGTTGTTTTATTGTTTCCCTTCAACGTGGTGACTTTACCGAAAGAGCTAAGAATACGATGACAATAGTTTAAAGCGATTTGAAGCATGTTTTCTTTTCAAAATGGAAATATATATTTTGGGGGGGGGGGGGGGGCAGAGCTTTGTGACGTCATATTTGAGGGGGGGTCAAAAATCGTCCAAAATCGCGTGACGTCATTTATGGACGGCTCCCTTGGTGTTGGTGGCCGTGAGCGGAATTCGAACTCGAGTCGTCGGGTTTGTAGCGCAGCACAGCGCTAACCCACTGCCGCTAGCTCACCCTATCTCTCTCTCTCTCACACACACGCATCGCCTCGCTTGCCTTAATAGGCGCTCGCTAACCACCCCACCTGCCCCGACAGCCCGTTCATACGCACGTTCTAAACTGTGTAGACTCTTTGAGTGAGAGCGAGCCTGGTTTGTGCACCGCAATGTTGGTCACAGTCGCCTGTGCCGTGTGATTAGGTCAGTGCCAAGGGGATGATGATGCTGATGATGATGATGGTGGGGGAAGGGGGGGGCTGGGTGATTCTTTATAATTAAAGAAGAAAAAATATCACGGAGTTGGTAGGCAATAGTCGCGTACTTATTATACACGTCGATGTTATTTATGTGTCACGTACATTCCATTGTTGTTCAGCAAACGTTGATGGCAACGACGACGATGATGATGATGTAATTTGGAGACCTCTCGTAATGTTGCTGCTGCTGGTGGTGGTGCTGGTGGTGGTGTAGCGAATTTGTTGTTGCGTGTGGCATCAGAACACCAACGGCTACATTTGGAAGAAAAAAATGTGTTTGTTGTTAGAGCCCAAAGCCCTGGGCGTCCACGCCCGAGCACTCCGTCGGCGGAGCGACGCAAAATCGCCTGCCAACTGCTTCGCCCGCATCTGAGCGAGGAGTTGCAGCAGCGGTGACATTTCGATCGGTTGCAGTCAACCGGTTGCAGCGATTGGTTGCGTGCGACCAAGTTGCGCGACCGGGCAATCGGGGGCGTGGACCCTGACACTTTTTGTTGTTGCTGTTGTTGTTGAGCGGGGCGAGCGGTTTCAGGGAAGGTTTCACGAACCCCCCATTTGCTCTCCGAGTTTTGCCCATTCCTTTGTTGTGAGTACAATCGGCTGCTGCTACACGCTAAACTTACCCGATGATTGCCCACGTTGATGTAGAGAATGTTGAATCAGCGCCCTACGTCACGTGGAACGCACGTAGGCACCTACGCACATGCACACGCGTGCACACGTGACATACATGCACAGGTACACACAAAGACAAAGATCCCCCTATAGCCTTAGCAGACTGTTTGGGCACGTACTGTTAGCGAGCACCTATGAAGGCCGGCACGGCACACGAGGGGATCGGTGGCCAGTACACCTTACACACATACGCACGTACACGTACGTACACGCATAAACACGTACGTAGACACACACTCACACACCTTGACGTACACATACACACACGTGCACACGTAAATGCACATACATGCACACACATACACGTACAAAGACATACGTACAAATGTACTCGCACATTCACATACACACGTGCACAGTACGCACACGTTCACACATACAACAATTCACGTACGAAGACAAAAGACATACACGCACACACATTCTTACAAAGACACATACACACTGAAGGCCTCGCACTCGCTTAAATTGTTTAGCAATCATCGGGCGCGTGAAGCGCGTATAACGAGCCTCAACTTGTCATTTGGAAGCGGATCCCGAGGGGAGGGGGTGGTGGTGGGGGGTGTGGCGGAAGTGACGTCATAATGAGTATCCCTATGGCACACTTGGTAGGGCTGAGAGGGCTATGGCGTACGGCAAATCTGTGAAAAACCTTTGCGATGTGAAGGAAAGATGCGAATGTTTACGCACACGCGTGGCACGGCGACACACAATGTCACTCGCATACACACACACACACTAATACCTGTCAACCCCTTAGCAGTGCCCTACCTTATTACAGACCAATTCAGACTTCATTGCCCCTTATAAATCTCAGCGTCCATCCTACAAAGTCCCATCACAAGGAAGAAACACAAACATAGACAAAAACGTATTGTTTTTTTTGAAACAGCTGGACGCCGTATGGACATGAAAACTCAATTTCCCCGTTCAAGAATACGTCTAAACCGTATGGGTTGACAGGTATGTGCTCTTCAACTCACATGTGTGTATAGATGAACACACATGCAAATGTCCTCCATCGAGCCTTTACCAGACTGTTCGCGAGTAGCACAAGTGAAGGCCGGCACGGTACAACACCACGCCCGGCCGCCTTCGTCTCCCCAGTGCTGATGTCTACACGCAGAACACATACGTACACACATGCACACAGACGCACATATACATTGGCATAAACCTGCACACACAAGGACACACTGACATACATACACTCACACACTTGCAAAGATCCTCGGTTTAGTTGTACAGGGTAAATGAGCTGGCACTGTTAGCGAGCACCTATTAAGGATGGCATGGCATTGTCTGGCACACGGTGGGGTTGTATGGCCATGGCTTTTGAATCCATGCCCAGCCGCCTTTGTCTCCCTTGTGGGGATGTTCACAAAGCGCAGGGTACCGTACTCTTTTGAGAAAGAGTGAACCTAGATGAGGCGCAGGACCGGTTCTAGTATTGGTCGCGAGCGGGGATCGAACTGGGGTCACAGCCGGATTCGTAGCGTGGTGCG